AGTAAATATAAGCATATATTAATTATTTTCAATATAATTATATATATAGGATCTTTGCTAGAAAAATTACTCTTTGACATTTTCTGATGGAGTTAATTCAGGCAAATTCAAACCAATATATCAGTGACTATTTGCATGTAGATAATTCTTGCCTTTATTGTTTCAAACATTTATTCGATAAGCTATTCAATCATGAAGTAAAAATATGATCTACATGTAAATACGAACTGGTATGTTGGTTTAAAATGATCCGAATTAGCCCGATTGGAAAATGTCAGAGGATGATTTTCCTAGCAAAGATCCCACATATTATATATAAATCTAGAGTTAAAGCAAAAGATCTATATTAGCATAGAGATTGGATCTATTATAAAACTTTAAAAACTTTAATCTGGTTATCTTAGAATATGTTACCTAAGTAGTAATATATATTTATAAACATTTACTATTTATAAAATTTTTATTAACTTAAATATTTTAAATAATCTATTAGGTTTATAAATATTTATTTTAATAATTGGTTTGTATTTAAATTTAAAAATCTTATTAATCTAACATAATAATATAACTAATAATTATAAAGATATAATAGAAAATATGCATATTATAATAATAGAATTGCTATTTTCACTATTTATTTTTGCTAATACCACACCCAGATATTAAAAAGTATTCTAAAAAAGGTATTGTTATTATATAAATTTTCCTTTTGGTTTTAATAAAAGTTGTTTATCAGGCTTTTTTGATTTTAATGATTATAAAATCATTAAAATTGGACTAATAATTTTTTTAAATTTAAATAAATATTAACTAAATTCAAATATAATATATTAGGAACTACTGATCTAATCTTATTAAGTTTATTATTATTAATATTAGAAAGACTAATAAATAACTTTAATTAAGATCAAAAAGAAGGTTTTCTTAATAATACCTCTTTTGTGCACTGTTTTAAATTTTGAAGGATGGTATTAGCAAAAATAGGAGTGGAAATAGTAATTTTCTATAATAAATATAATAATAATTTTTATTGTTATAACTATATATTTATATATATTTAATCTAATAAAATTTTGTTTTAAATTATTGTTTAATTTTTAGATTTTAAATTGAATAAGCTATACAATCTATTGCTTTTTAATTAACAAAAACAATTTTGTGTTTGAAGTATTTATAATATAAATATTTATATTAAATAAGATTAAAAGGTATTTTTTTATTAAATAGTTTAATTTATATAATTAAAAAATTTTTTTATTTTAAAATTATATATTTATTTTTAAAATTAAATTAATTCTTTTATTTATTTTTAGATAAAATTATTAGTTTATAGATTAAAATGTAAGTTATTATAATTATTTTATTAAATTATTATTTAAAAAAATTTTAAATTTATATAATTATTATATTTAATTTAAAGAGTTTGCTATTTATTGCCACTAGTGATCATTGCCAGTATTTAATTAACCATTAATTTGCAAGTTTAGATGTAATATGTAAATCAATTTTGTATAAAACAAAGAATTTTTAAAAAATTAATATAACTTAAAATTTTTTATGAAACTACCTTTGAACCTTAACAAAAAAAATTCTTTACAAAATTTTATGATAACCTTTGCTTAATCCCAACATGATATCCTCATTCTTACTCTAATATTAAAAGAATTAAATTTTTGTTTTAATAAATTACTTTGATTTATATATTACACCTGATCTGTAAATTAATGATGATGATTACCAGTAGTGAAATATAGTAATTTTGTTAATTTAATTAGTATTATTAAAATATAAATAAATAATTAAATTATTTTTATTTTTATATTTTAGCAATTATTATTTTTAAAATGAGTTCTAGTGAAGAAAATATTGGTGAATCAACATCTATTATAACTAAAGATAAAAAAAAAAGTGGTGGTCGTCCAAAAGGTCCAGTTTGGGATTATTTTACTAAAGGTGAAAGAGTAGGAAAAGGAAAATATAAAGCAACATGTAATTTGTGTGGAGCATTTTGGAATCGTGGTGAACCAATTGAATTAGAAGGTCATTTAGCTAATCATTGTTCAAAAGCTAATCCAACAATTATTAGACAATTTCTTACAAGAATTCTTTCTAATAATTCTGAGGAAAATAGCTCTAATAAAAAAAGAAAAAGCAATAATCAAGGAAATCTTGATCAACATGTTAGTATAATAGAATTAGATCAACAAAAAATTAAAAGAGTTCATCTTGCTTGGGCTAGAGCTTTTGCTATTTGTGGAATTCCTTGGCATACTATAGAAAATCCTTTTTTTATTGAAGCATTAAAAGAAACAAATTTATCTTATAATCCACCAACACGTCAATTTTTATCAGGCCATTTGTTAGAACAACAATTAGCTTTAATTAATCAAAAAACTAGTAATATTTTTAAACAATATTCAAATTTAACTTTAGGTAAATATATTTTATATTTTTAAATTAAATATATTTTATATTTTTTTAAATTAAATTAAATTATTATTAATTAATTTAATTTAGTATTAGATGGTTGGACTGATAGAAAAAGTCATTCAATTTGGAATTTTATAATTATTACACCAGAGCATAAAGAATATTTATATAAGATTTGTGATTATTCTGATGAAATACATACAGGAGAATTTTTAGCTAACAAAATAAATGAAGTTTTAGATTCTATTGGTGTAAATCATTTTTCAGCTATTGTTAGTGATAATGGTGCTAATGTAAAGCTTGCACGTGATATGATTTCAACACAACATCCACATATTTTTAGTATAAGATGTATAGCACACGCAATTAATTTAGTTGCACAAGATATTTTAAAATTCGAATGGGCAGATAAATTAATTAAAAAATGTAATATTTTATATAATTTTTTTAAATCTTCACATAGAGCAGGTATAAAATTTATTATATTTTATATATTTTAAATTTAATTATAATTTTTAATTAAAAATTTCTATTTGTATACTATGTGTACATACATGGGTAATAAGAAAACTAATCAGATTACACAATCAAATATAAGGCTATACAAAAAAAATTTTTTGGTTTCACAACATAGAACTGTTTAAACAGACCTAGCCGGCTGGCTTTTTTTTAAAATTTTATATATAAAAAATTTATAAATTTTTTTAAAAATTTTTTAAAAAAATCTACCCAGTTATTAAAACATATAAAAAAATTTTTTTACAAGTTTTTAAATTTTGACCTGGCTGGGTTATGTAAACCAAAAAAATTTTATATGGCCTAATATAAAATTATTGCTTTCTTTAAAAAATTTATTATAACTCAAAATTTTGTTTATAAAACCACTTTTTGAATATTAATAAAAATATTTCTTGTAAATTTTTAATATAAGTTATTCTTGCTATTATCTCAGTTCACTCTTATTCTAACCTTTAATGACACTTAATTTTTGTTTTATACGAATTATTTTAATTAACACATTATATAAATTTTCAAATTAATACCTGTGTATGATACACTGTATAAACTAAGAAATTTTCTTTTTAATTTATTATACTAATTATTATTATAAATTTTATATATTAAAGGAGCAGAATTAAGATTATTAATAGAAAGAATGAATATAACTGGTGGAGGTCTTAAAAATTATTCAAAAACTAGATGGACAACTGCAAGTGAAACAGTTGAAAGTATATTACGTTTAGAAAAAGTATTAAAAAAGGTAATAAATTAAATTTATAAAATTTTATTAATTATTAATTATTAATTACTATTATTTTTAGATTGTTGAAGATAATATATTTACAAATGATCAAATTAATAATATTATTAATCGTTATAATTTTTTTATTCAGTTAAAAGTATTAAATTTTATTTTATTACCTTTAAAAAAATCTATTTTATTATTAGAAAGTAATTATGCAAATCTTGGTGATTGTTTTTTAAGTTTAGCTAAAGCAAATGCAACAATTAAAAAATTACCAATGCGACAATATACTGGATTTCGACAATATTGTTTTAGTATTTTAAACAAACGATTTAAAGAATTTGATGATGATTTATATATTTTAGGATATTTTTTAATGCCAAATTTTCGAAGTAAGTATTATTTATAGAAAATAACTATTTGTACATGGTGTGTTTGAACATGGGTATTGATTTGTAAATCTGTATAACATGCCAATCAAAACAACTTTTGTAAACGAAAAATTAAGCTCCTACTTTGGGTTAGAGTAAGGAAGCATTTAGGATTTGGGTGGGTTATAGCATATATTAAAATTTCGCAAGGAATTTTTTTTGTTAGAATCCAAAAGGTGGTTTCATAAGCGAAATTTTGAGATATCGGTAATAT